TCTCTCTCTCTCTCTCTCTCTCTCTCTCTCTCTCTCTCTCTCTCTCTCTCTCTCTCTCTCTCTCTCTCTCTCTCTCTCTCTCTCTCTCTCCACGGCGACATTTGCATCTGGAAGCTCCTTAGTCCATACTCACATCGGGATTTTGTTGCAATGTATCTGTCCGCAGTTACGGGCATATTGACTTCTGGGACATTTTGGGACATACTCACACAGGGACTTCGGGCAACTTAGGGCACACTCACACTCTGACTATCCTTATGATATACTGACACTTAGACCCTCCGGGACATATTCACACTGCCACGACATCGCCGGCGCCTCTGACTTGTTAGTTCTGATGTTCCCTAGGAGCACTTCTAATTGAAGGACGGAAAACAGGGGAGCCAATGGGCACCCTTGTCTAAGGGAGCGCGTCAAGTTAAATGGTGTCATATTGTAACAGAAGCTAACCTTCAAGGAATCCTGTGGGACTTGCACCACTACTCAACACTCTACATGAATGTGGATGCTTTTCTGGACCTGAAACATTTGAAACGATTGACTTGTCCAAATGAACCTAGTCCACAAAGCATCCAAATTCATCTAATATTGTGTGTAGTGGAGCAAGGCTCTGTCTCCAATAGTACTGGAAAAAAGAGTAGGTAGGATGCCAGTGAGTGGAAAAAAAAAAAAAAAGGTGAGTCAGGAGGCTTTGTCACTGTTTTCGTACGACCCGGGTTGGAACGTGGTCGGTGTGCCTTGATCATTCCAATGCGGTCGTCCCCCTTTATCGTAAGTGATGTCAGGCCACATTTCCCGCATTGTGTTAAAAAAAAAAGAAAAAAAGGAATCACCCACTTTCTTTCACCCCGGCATGATGGTGAGCTCGAAACACAGATACACCGTACACCAGATTCTTCGGGTGAATAGTGCTCCCGTACCAAAATGGCTGGTGGCACCAGCCAAAATGACAAAAAGAAAGTCGCGCTGGTGCTTCGGCAAAGCTTGGCACACACTTCTTTTCCGCCTAGGCAAAAAGAGGCTCGGGGGTATGATGGTTTTGACCAAAAAAAAAAACATCACCCTCTTCTGCTTCTTTTTTTTTTTTTCCGGTCCTTTTGAACCACCTGTACCCACTTGAAAACCAAATAAGCGTTCCTATACGTCTGTGGATGTGGCCTTCATTGTGTGTGTGTGTGTGTGTGTGTGAGAGAGAGAGAGAGGGAGGGTGTGCACGAGCTCTGAAGTAGCCTTCACCGTGAGTGAGGACATCGTTAGACACTCCTCGGGGACGCGATTCCAAGGATTTCGCCGTCGTTCCACCTGTCCTCAGAGCCAATTTTCGAAAGAAAATGTGAAAACACTTCGAGGACGAATCCTCGGGCTCCGAGGATTTCCCAGGCAAATCGTCCTCGGCTCCAAGGGGCCTTGCCAGGTCCTTTGGAGTCTAAGGATCCGCGATTCATGGGGTGTTGGCGTCGAGCGTAGAAGGAAAATTGGAGGCCGAAGATGGTCCAGTTTCGGTCCAGGGGCCGGGCGACGGACATTGTTGGCCTTCAACGTTGTGGACGTCCTCCAATGACCTCATCCGTTTACCGTTGGCAGTTGATGGCCGCAGGGTGCATCGTCATTTCCAGGCGCCTTGTTTGGGGTCCTTGGGGTTCCGGTGGGGTCTCCAACGGTCGTTAATTTTGAATTTGTGGTCGTGGTGGTGGGCGCTATGTGGATGACAATACGTACTCTTGGAAGGATTCGGACTGTAGTGCGTCATCACTGTGTGCACATTCCACGAGATCCGTACCCACACTATCCTTGCTCCTGTGTCGTTCATGGCTGACCTGCACCGCAGGCTGCCGCTGCTGCCGCCGCTGCTGCTCATTGCTGTGTTGTTTTTCTGGCGGTTGACGCGTTCCACTTGTGCTTCCTGTGGCGACTTCTTGAGAGGAACCAGACGAGGCGGTCGTCGAAGAAGGAGAGCAGGATGGACAAACAGCTGATGAATAGTACACCGCCTGCAGGGGTGGGGGGGTCGTCACGTCACATGACACTGAACTGTTCCCGTGGAAGGACGCAGGCAGCCGCCGTGGCATCGCACACCCGCAGATCTTCGCACGTCCTGCCCGTTCTCCATTTCATCCACCATCTTGGCGTCGCTCGAGGGAGCACACTGGAGCCCAGTGCAGCGCACAGTTGAACGACAGCCTCCAAAGTTTGCCATACAGTCTGGTGCGTCGACCACTGGTTTGAATTCTTCCCCTCGAGGAGAGCCTTGTAGGCTTGTACACCTGCACAGGGTACACCAATCAGGATGAGCCAGATGCTCAGGGATGTGGATGCGAACTTTTTTTTTTGTGCGTGTGAAACTCACACACCCAGTAAAGGATGAATAATGCGATGATGATGGATTGTTAGAGGATTACTTACTGTCTCCCCCAAAAGGCAACACGTGCCCATCATGAATGTACACATGCTATCTTTCGTGCCGGATGCATTCATGATGCGAGTGTGTTGTGTTCAGGGGAAGATGGTAGTGAATGAACTTGCAAGAGAACAATGAACATGCACACTTGGATATGAGTCAGCATGCGCATGTGGTGGTTCCTTGTGCTTTCTCCGGGCATAACCACATTAGGACCTCCCAGATGTATCTGGCACCTTTTACAGCCAGTCGTGGATGTATCGGATCACAATCACTGCCAAAGTTCACTTGAAGAGGTCATCATGTGAACTGCGCCCTCACTTCCAAGGAATGCATTATTTTTGTACGCGACCCACACAACCGATAACTGATTGAAAACTCACACACCTGGGTCCAGGTCCCACTAGCGAGATGATTGGCCTGAATCTGGACGGTGTTGTGAACAGGGTTCAGAAAATCGTGATTGAAACGAGGTTATGCATCTTGGCATAAAGCACATTCGGATTCGTAAACTTCACCTAGCCCTCTTCGGGAGGAGGGATAGGCGAAAATTGTGGGAGATTTCAAGAGCTGGGTGGAAATCATTACCTAAAGCATTATAATTGTGTAGGATGCTGCAAACTGCATTTTTTTTAATTTTTTTTTAATAAGGATGAATGATCATGAAACTTTTTTTTTTTTTTTTTCCTGAGAATGAACACTCGTCACGCAAAAAATTATTGGCTCCCTCAAATGGTCGTCAAGTTGTCAGTATAATTGTCAATTTGTCATGTGTGCCGAGAAGGCAGCTATGACTGGGCATGGGAAAGAAAGTGGCTGATGTGACACTCACTATTGAATAACTTTTTTAACTTTTTTTTTCCCAACTCCTTTTTATTTTATACAAGCCGCGAACCGCGCCCGGCGTCCCTTGAATGACTTCACACCAAAACATAGTTAAAACTTCCTTGTTTTTTTTTGGGGGGGGGGAATAGTAAGAACTCAGAACTTACTAAGATAAAAATAATTTACTAAAAATGGCTCAGTTGGTATACCCACGAACTGTTGGACCTCGATGGATGGAATAAATCAAATAAATCATTCTGAATTACTTACCAGGCCAGTCCGATCAATGAAGATATCCCAAGGGGGAAAAAAACTTACGACTTGAAACAAGTAGTCGAAAAAAACTTTTTCAATTGATGTCCATTGCTGCAGGGTTCTTGAGGCTGGTCAGTCCCCGATAAACGTTGTTCGTATTTGATATGTATCTTGCCCTGGGCACTGGGCCGGGAATAAAATACGGACATAGCAGTGAAACCCCTTTGGGATAAAGAAAACAGAACTTTTTTGAAGTTTTTCTTTCTTTTATTTCGACTCGCTCTTATTATGGTTATCAACTTAGGGCCTCGTTAGACCCTCCTTGGAAATCCGATTTTTAGGAAATCGAATGTGAAAAATGCTCCCGAGAGATTTCCTTGGATTCCTTAGAATCCCCAGCCAAAACGTCCTTGGATTCAAGGGGTCCTCGCGAGGTCCCTTGGGTTCAAGGAGCCGCGCTTGACGGAATGTTCTGGAGCGAGCGCCGACAGGAAAATTTGGAGTCGATGTTGGTGCACAGGTCGTCCGTGATCCGTTGAGCGGACATCGTCGGCCTCCAGTACCCAAAGGGCCCCCAACGGCCTTCCACCGTTACTGTTGGCATGGAAATGCATGGGCGTGGTTCTTCAGCTGCAAGGCGCTTAACGAAGCAGGGTTTTCCATGCGCGCGTCGCCGGCCGTGGTGTCCAACGGTCAATTGTTTTTATTTTTCTACAAGCAATGTTGAAGCACTGTCGGTCGATTGCAGTCATCTGCCTAACGTGTTTTGTCGGCTATTCCCGGGCGCATTCATGCAAGCTTTGTTTGGTACACGCCTCGCATGCTGCTCCTGCTGCTGGCCACTCCTCCACACAGACATTTCGCCCCAGTCTCCAGTCGAGCCGCGAGGACGCCACGCACACGGATGTGTCACAACGGAGGGTTTGAAATTTGAAATTGGAACGGGGATGTTGGCGCCCTTTTTCTTCGTCAGCCTGGTAGGCCTCCCCGCCGCCGCCACTGGACCACGCCTGAGGACGCCCGGACATCCCAGCACAATGACGAACATCCACCTCCGTGGCCGCGTGTATGCGTATGAAATTGGCCGCTGGAGACCTCCAAGGTTTTTCCTTCGGACCCATTGAATTAGGACGCGGTGTAACGACGACGACGAAAACCGGAAAATTTTCCAAGAACTCCATCCTAATTCCTGAGGGTTTTCCAAGGAGGGTCTAACA